GAGGAAGATGGGCACAGATGTTAGCCCAGGGCCAGTCTTCCTCAGCAAAAAGAGGAGGATTGGCAGATGTTAGCTCAGGGCCAATCTTCCTCACACACACACACAAAAATACACACAACCCTCTGACCTAGCAATGCCACCTTCAGTGGCATCCTCCACACGAGTAGGTGGTGCATGGACAAGGTTATCCCCTACAGTGCTGTTTTAATATTCCAAGGGAAATAACATAAACGTGGAGAGAAGACTGTAAAATGAATGTGCTGTCTCCATACAACGGATGTCGTGAAGCTGTGGAAACAATGGGCAGCTGTAGGTGCTGATATCAAATGCTTGATTGAGGATGATGTGCCTGAAGGTGGGAGAGGTTCCCAATCTCCTCAGGCCTCGGGGTCTAAATGCAAGGGGCATTCCGAACCTTTGGGAAACCAGTGAAAAGGATGAGTCTTGCTCCCTGTTCAACGGTTTGGTGTAAGTGTTTCTTCAGTGCCTGATACGCGACAGGATCTTCCAGGGAAAGAGTGCTCAACACCAGGGCAGGAAGGAGCCTGCCTGGAATCAGAGCTGGGTTCTGAACTGATCCCCTTACTCACTGGCCATGTGACTGTGGGCAAGGCCCCCGTTATCTCTTGGCCTCAGGCTCCCCACTCTATACATGTGAGTTTGGGTCGGATGGGTCTAAAGGTCCATTGTGCACTGACATTTAAGAATTCAGGATCCTGGGCCTGTGGCAGAAAACTCTAAATTAGCATCTTTGCTATCTCAGTGGGAAACCCTAAGTCACCCACATGGGGAACCTCTTCCCTGGGTGAGGCACATTCTGAGATGCCCCAGCTCTGCCCGGAGTCTTCAGTGACTGTGTGAGTTGGTCCCTGAATCACACGAGAGTTTTCTGGACAGACATACAGCAAACACGCAACCTGTGTGCATCTCCTCCAGCCGGGCTGTCAGAGTGAACAGAGAGTCTGGGCCTCTTAGGGATTCCTCTCAGTGTGATGTTTCTGAGGATGAAGTGAAGAAACACACGTTCTCCCCTCCCTGCCCTGCATGGATTTCTCCTCACAGGAAGGGAAGAGGACGTGAGCCTCCTGGGAGAAGAGCCTTTGCCTGCTGTGTCCACTGCTGCTTCCATAGCACAGAGTCCGGCACACAGTAGGTGCTCAGTAAATGCTGAGTAAAGGAGGACTCGGCCACATTGAGGGGCACTCTCTGGAGGCAGGGGTGAGGTCTCTCTCCCTGTGACTGGGCGAGTCACTCAGACTGTCAGTTCCCTCCTCCCTGGAACAAAGGGCTGGACGGGATTGGAAAAGGCAAAGATTGTGGAGCCAGGCAGATGGGCATTCCAGAATTTCCCCCCCATTTACCAGCAGTGGGGCCTTGAGCAACTAGCACGACCTCTCCAGGCCTCAACTTCCCTGATCTGTGGAAGGGGGTGAAATCAGATCATGAATATAAGCACCCACTGCCACACCTGATTCTTGCTGTGGCTCAAAGAATGGGGGGTGTTATTATTGACTTGTTGTCACACACCAGGGGACGAAGGAGGCCCACACTGTACTCACCACTCACGGTGAGCTGGGTCCCTGGTCCAGACTTAAACTCCACGTCTTCAGGGCTCCCTCTCTGGAACTTCACACAGTAGTAGATACCAGTGTCTGCTGGGGTGATGTTACTGATGCGGATGGAAAAGTCCGTGTTGTTTCTCTTTGTGGTGTCTGCAACATTTATTACTCGGGGGTAGTGGCCTCCTTTGAAACTGTAGATTAACTCCCGGCCTGGCCCTGTGCCCCTGAACCACAGGACGTTCCCCACAGGGAGCAGGGAGGTCAGGGTGCAGCACAGAGTGGCCGTCTCTCCAGCTGCGACAGACACTGACTTCTCAGGCTGAATCACCTGCAGGTCCTCACCTGCCGCTCCTGGAGGAAAACAAACCGATTGTTTATTCATCCTTATGTGATCTTGTAGGTTTTCTCATTTAATTATCAACGTCGACACTCACTCACTGAATGAACACCACAGGTGGGCCTTGAGCTCAGCACATTGCATGGACACTGCATGTAACCCTCACAATAAGCCTGTAATGTGAGATCATAGTATAAATGAGGAAACTGAGGCACAGAGAGGTTAAGTGACGTGGCAGAGAGCAGGTTTGAGTGCCTGAGCCCCCTCTGGGAGTGTCGTGTCTGAGCTGGGCTCTGAATTCAAATCTGAGTTTACTAGGAGGAAAGGGCACAGTGTTCCTGACAGAGGGAACAGCCTGGGCAAAGGCTCAGAGGTGGGTGGCGGCATGGCATTGAGGGGACTCTACGTGGAGTTTAGATTCTGATTCAGGCCTGACTCGGGAAGCAGGCCCCTAGTGGGAAGCCATACTTGGCAGCTGGGGCTGGTCCAGCTATGCAGCAGTGAGGTAGGAAGACTTGGCCTTGAGTCCTGGCTCAGGGCTTACTGCTACATGACCTTGACCATCCCTCGGGACACTGAGAAGATCCTGTGTGTGCTCGACACTGCCAAGCACCCCATGAATGAGAGTGCTGCCCTTAGTCTGGGCAGGACCCTTCACTGCCTCTGAGCCTCAGTCTCCTTATCTGTCAATTCTATGAACCCATCGCGATGGGTCTCTGGTAGGACAAAACCACAAGCCTGGGCTGGGACAGGGTCAAAAAGAACCATCTGGGGGCTGGCCCGGTGGCGCAAGCGGTTGAGCGTGCGCGCTCCGCTGCGGCGGCCCGGGGTTCACTGGTTCGGATCCCAGGCGCGCCCCGACGCATTGCTTGACAGGCCATGCTGTGGTGGCATCCCATATAAAGTGGAGGAAGATGGGCATGGATGTTAGCCCAGGGCGAGTCTTCCTCAGCAAAAAAAGAGGAGGATTGGCAGATGTTAGCTCAGGGCTGATCTCCTCACAAAAAGTAAATAAATAAATAAAAGAACCGTCTGGTCTTTGGAGTCGTCTGACCTAGTTTGAAACCTGGCTTGCCTTTTATTCACATGTAACCTGCTTATCCACCAGTTTTGAGTCTCAGTTTCCTTATCTACAAGATGGGTAGACAACCCCCAGCCCTCTGCTTTGTTCTGAAAAGAAAACAAGATCACACATAGAAGTCACTCAGCACCAAGTGGGCACAGGGAGGATACTGTCATTACACAATGAATAAACGAGGGAGGGTCTGTTGCTCAAACTTCACTCCCACTCACCCTTGCTGATGCTCCTGCAGGCTGGCCCATGCTTGACGCTGGGGACCCACAGGAGGTGGACCCAGGTCAGGCCTCAAGGGCTCTGGGCTGGGCAGCTGGAAGGATCCTGGAGGTCAGGGGAGGGGAGGGGCCTGAGCCCCCAGTTGGAGAGCACTAGGGAACATGAGACAGGGGCTCAGCACTGGGGCACATGAGACAGGGGCTCAGCACTGGGGCACGTGAGACAGGGGCTCCGGGTGGAGGAGATGGGGGAGGAGGGCAGCACACAGCTAGGAAGATGACCGGGCAGGTGATGTTGCTGTGAGATGTGCTGCAGGTGCTCAGAGCAGGCACAGCTAGGGTCCCAATTCTGAACAAGAGATAGGGAGAAAGGACAGGTCATGAAGACCTCAGAGAAACACAGAGAGAGAGAGGAAGAGAACCAAAGAGACGGGCAGAGGGAGAGGCAGAGAGACAGAGACAGAGTGAAGAGTGAGACGGAGTGGGGGGAAAAGAGAATAAGACAGAGACATGAAGAGGCGGACGCCCGGTGTAGGTGTAGACAGGCCTTCTGGTCTCCACCTGGGCGTTCCACTGACCCACAATGTGACCTTGCCCTGTCCTGACCTAGGCCACCTGTGCCTTGCACATCAGACAGGGTTGCACTCAATGCCCTGAGCAGCCCCCTCCAGCTCTGGCTGAGACCTTGTGAATCTGCCCACCAGCCCATGGCATGGGACCACCCCCTGGCAAGGGCCGGGCGCCCAAGGGAAGGGACGCCCACGGACTCCAGTCTGCCCTCACTGCGGGCAAGCCCAGAGCCTCAGGACAGGCCTCTCATCCACCTGCCCGTTGTCCCAGCCCTGCCTCCCAGGCCAGGGACCGCCCTCATGGTGCAGGGGAAGGGACCAGAATCCACAGAGGGCAGGGGTGGGGGTGGAGCTAGTGGCCGGGTGTGTGAGAGGCACACGGAGGACCCACAGAGGCAGTCAGCCACCCAGAGACACCAGAGGCAGCACCAGCAGTGCCAACAGCATTGAACCGGGAACATTCCCAATGGGTCTGCATTCCAGCATTGCGACTGGAGAAACTGGGAAATGCCACCTGGAGGAAGCACAGGCGCTGGGAGAGAGCACAGGTTCCCCGGTAGCCTGCCCAGCACCCACCCCCCCGGGCCTCCATTCCATCTTCCATAAAGGGGGCAGCAGCATCCACCCCTCAAGACAGTCATGAGGACAATGACACAGTTGAACGTAAGTACCTGCTGCATAGGTGCTGGTTAAATTGTAGCTTCTGTTCCCATTACTATTACAGATACATTATTCATATACTCGATTTTCTCTAGATTGTCTTAGTCCCCCCAACCAGGACGCAGGATCCACAAAGAGCTGTTCGCAACCCCCTGCTTAGAACACTGTCTGGTACACACCGGGCCTCAGTAAACATATGCTGAATGAACGCATTAATGAATGAATGAAGGAAGGAGGGATTTGTCTTGCTCCTGGGCAAATCCCCTCTCTGAGCCTCCTTCCTCATCTGTAGATGGTGCTGCTATAGGCATATCTAGGAGACGGTGCAGACCCGGAGCCTGGGACTGCGCCTGGCCCACAGACGCACGTGACGAATGGCAGTTATCATCATCTTATCAATAACACCACACAGGGCTGTGAGTCAGCGGTCGGCGAGAGGAGCCTCGAGCAGAAGAGGAGGCTGCGGAACCGGCGGGCGGTGTGGGAGCCGGCTATTCTCGGGGTGCAGCCGGAGGCCTGCAATCACACCCTGGGAGGCGAGGAGAAACTCTGGAGTTGTGTAGGGCTGGCTCTCCCCTCTTTTTTTTTTTAGCTCCTCTCGAGCTCTCTCCACCAACTGCAGCCAGATTTAGGCGGCTTAATTAATTAGCTAGTGTTTATAAAGCGTTT